TAATAATTACAAGGCTGTTTCTGTGTTTTGCTATGATTTTGAATACATCTGCTGCCAACTACTAGGACATATTGATTTGTTTAGCTCTGATATTGCTGAGATTAGTTAGTTGTAAATTAATATATATATATATATATATATATATATATATATATATATATATATATATATATATATATATATATATATATATATATATATATATATATATATCAATGCTGCGTATGGTTGAGGTCATTCAAATCAGCTAAGTACAATCGAGCTCTCCGCTTTCTTAAGCGCATGGTTGACAGGGGTTATAAACCTGATGCCATTCTCTGCACTAAATTGATTAATGGTTTTTTCAATTCTAAGAAAACCCAGAAAGCTATTCGGGTCATGGAGATTTTGGAAAAGCACGACCAGGCTGATGTTTTTGCGTATGAAGCACTTTTAAATGGGTACTGTAAAGCTGATATAGTTGATGCTGCCAATAAGGTGCTTGATAGAATGAAAAAGAGAGGTTTTTTACCTGATGTTGTTACTTATAATATTCTCATTGGGAGTCTTTGTTGGAGGGGTAAACTTGATTTGGCTTTAAGGGTTATGGATCACTTGTTGAAAGATAATTGTAGGCCAAATGTTATAACTTATACTATTTTGATTAAAGCAACTATTATTGAAGGTGGTATTGATAAGGCTATGAAGCTTTTGGATGAGATGTTGTCAAGAGGGCTTCGACCTGATGTGTCTACTTATAATGTTGTTGTTAAAGGTATGTGTAAAGAAGGGTTGTTGGATAGAGCTTTTGAGTATCTTAGTAGTATAAGTTGTAAGGGCTGTGTTGCTGATGTGAGTCCTTATAATATTCTGTTGAAGAATCTTTTGAAAGAAGGGAAATGGGAAGCTGGAGAGAGTTTGATGTCTGATATGTTGGATAAAGGTTGTGAGCCGAGTTGTGTGACATACAGCATATTGATTTGTTCACTTTGTCGTGATGGTAAAATTGTCGAGGCTGAGAATGTGTTGAAGGGTATGAAGAAGAGAGGGTTGGCTCCTAATGCTTATTGTTACAATCCATTGATTTCTGCTATTTGTAAAGAAGGAAAAGTAAATTTGGCTATAGAGTATTTAAATAACATGATATCAGATGGTGGTTTGCCTAGTATTGTTTCCTATAACTCGATCTTGGCTTCTCTGTGTAAGAATGGACATGCTGATGAGGCTTTGAACATCTTTGAGAAGCTCGGTGAAGTGGGCTGTCCTCCAGATGCAATTTCTTATAACATTGTTTGGTGCATTGTGGAGCAGCGGCGATGAAATTAGAGCGTTGGGGATGATTTTGGATATGTTAAGCAAAGGCATTGCTCCTGACAAGGTCACCTATAGTTCACTTATTTCTTAGTTGTGCAGAGATGGATTCATGGATCAGGAAATTGAGTTGTTGGTTGACATGATGGAGAGTCACAAGTATCAGCCTGCTGTTATTAATTACAATGCTGTTATTTATGGATTGTGCAAGGTACAAAGAATCATAGATGCTATTGAGGTGCTTGCTGCTATGAATCAGAGAGGATGTGTGCCAAATGAAAATACATGATGTGCACTCCAGTATCTCAGAGTGGCATGTACAAGCAGTACGGGAAAAGTACATGAAATCCAAGGTACATAGTGGATTGGGTTTCCTTGCAGTCAAAGTCACACGCATTCACGTACTCAGAGTTTTACTGACAATTCAATCAAGATCAGTCAGGGTCACTAAAGCCCTGAATGCATAAATGTGTGGTTAATGTGACTGCATTGAATCCATTTTTAGCGGTGTTCACTTAGTTTGTCAGTGTTTGTTATTGAATCCAGCACTGATATCTAATCTAACTGTCCTTTTTACAAACAGTTTCTGAGTATGGCATCTTTGACTGCTGGGGAAATTCCTGCAAACTATTTTGATCCTATTGATCAATAAGATTTGAGCCGTTGAACACCATCTGCACTTTCCATCCACAAATTTTGTCGAGTCTGTTTCGAAGAGCCCCGTCAGCTTATTATAGGCGCCAGAAACTCTGATGATTTGCTGCTGTTTTGTATGATTTATAAACTGTCAATGTTTTTCTTTGTATGGATAATGTGGGTATATTTTTGTTTTAGCTTTCGATTTCAATAAGTAACAGATCTAGTAATCTGGAATTCTGTTAAATCATATCATAGATGCTATTGAGGGTCTGGAGCACAGTACCGGCCGTTGTTTATACACTGAGACTTGCATTGATTGCTTAAGAGAAAATCATTAGGGCAGTACCAAGTTATAAAGTGAGGAGTAAATTGAGTGAACCCCTTCTTCTCAAGAAACTGAGCTGCACCTTTAAAGCTCTTCACAAAATCAATTTGATTGTCACACTTTGGACCGCATTCGTCATTGCTATTCATCCATAACTCATACTCAACTCTGTCGTCCGGATGCGGAAGAGCCTCTCTCCAATCAAGATTTATGTGAACAACCTCACCATTCAAGAGAGCTTTCTTGATTCTGTCCCCCAAGGATTTGCTGATAAGAGTAGAAGGAATATTAATCTTTTCCACATAATCATCGTTTGCAACATTCCCTTCTTCAGGAGTGTCCATAGTGATTAGTGTTTCTTCTTTGTCATCCGCTACAAGAATAGCCGCTGCTCCACCATTTTGCGCATTCCACGCCTTCAAAGTGAAGTAACAATCTACCAAAATCACCACAGAATGGATTTAAAAGAGAATTGCTATAACATTTTAGAAACCACTTCTTTGCAAGTTTTCATGAACGTATATATAGAAATAGAAGGAAAATAGACAATAAACAGTAGTAAAAATCTGGAAATATGACAAATGGTGCTTATATGATTCTCCAAATACATAGTTTTTAAATTTTAATTCTAAATCTTGATGACACATTTTCATGCATCTGAAACATGAAGTGTCTTCTGGACTAGAATGTAAATAATAATGTTTTTGTTGGATTTAAAGGGATATGAGCTGTTGAAAAATATAAGATTTCTATTTGATAAATCTATGATTTCTACCAACTATTGATATGCTGCTTTGGTTTTTGTTGCAGGTAACTTTTCTCTTCCACTTGCTTCGTTGCTCTTCAAACCCTCGTGCGTCTTTGAGGTATGATTTCATTCTTAAATTTGAGTGTGCCTTTACTATATCACTGTTTAATAGTGTTAGACTAAAGAATTTTATCTTATAAGAATTTTATCTTAAATTTGAGTGTGCCTTTACAAATACATTATTCTTATAAGCAATTGTAATAACCAAAATTGCAATGTTTGCAATCGCATTCATACGGGACCGCAAAAGCACTTTAAAATCCTAGTACAAAGCAATATTAAGGTCGCACTCGCACACTGACACAACATAAGTAAATATTCTTGAAGTACCTAGCTAAATGTAGTAAACATATTGATATGAAGTATTTATCCATATATGTCTGTTACATGAAACTGTATTATACTAATTGATATCACAAGGCTTCACCTATAAACTTGTTATGTAGTGTGTAAAAACAAATTAAACAACCAATAATAAAACTCATCTCTTTTATTTTTCTATTGTTTATATTCAAAATAACATGTTCTCGTAAGTACTAGAATTCTGAAAATATAATTTTTTTTTGAAGAAATGGATAAGTAATGGATTATTAAGCCACAATCATCGATTGCGTATCAAAAAGGGATACAAGAATTTATTGATTTTGCATTTAAAGGTGCAAAAGAAAACGACGTAGTAATATGTCCTTGCAAACGTTGCGGTTTCAGAAAATTAAAGAGTAGGAGTGACATGTTCGACCACTTAAGTTGGTCACCATTTCCGCAGGGATACACCATGTGGATCCATCACGGAGAGTCTTTTGTACGATCTAGTACTATCTCCCCTAGTACTACTCCAAGTATGGTAGAAGATACTAACATTGTCGACGAACCTATTCAGAACATGATCAACGATGCATTTGGAGTTTATGGGAATCATGCAAATGAAATACCATCTGCGTCAAATTTGGAGATTGAACAAGAAGATTATGTGATGCCAAGCTCAACTCAAGAAGATTGGTTTTTAATAATAACAAGACTAATTGAATGTTGTATCATGTATAGATTCACAACAATCTTGACAACATTCATGGGCCAGATAAAGATGTTCTCATTAGTCTTGCTCATGGACCTTTTGATAAAGTTAAAAGATTTACCGCGTTCAATGTCAATGGATTCAAGTTTCGAACGTTGGAACGAGACAATCTTTTAAAAACTCAAAATAGTGGAGTTTTTGGCATGTTTGGGACACGAAGTTATTCAAGCAATAGTGATACCCAAATGAGATTTGGAGGGGTCCCTTACTATGGAAGATTAATAGATATTATTGTGCTTTCCTATGATGGCTTCACAGTGCCCATGTTTAAATGTGAATGGGCTAATACCATAAACCCAAGAGGAATTAAGATAGATAAGTTGGGTTTTACCTCTATAAACTTTGCAAGACTACTACATACTAGTGAACATGAAGATAATGAGCCATATATTCAAGCATCTGAAGCTCATATGGTTTTTTATGTAGATGATAAGAGTGAACAAGGATGGAGCATACCTGTTCATTTGAAGCCAAGAGACTTGTATGACATGGGTGGAAATGATGAAATTATGACACCCATTGAGCCATATCCATCACAAAATTTGGAACAAATCTTTTCAAATGATGATCTTGGAACTTCAGCGACAAAAGATGACAATAGTTAACATATAGTTTTTTATTGATAAGAATCTAGTTTGTTTGTAACTTGTGTGAGACTTAATGTATGATATTCCATTGTTACTCTATGTTCTTTGTTGCTTATCCCTAATTAATATGTTAGATGACATTGTTACTCTATGTTTTTAATTTATTGTGTTTATGTTATGTTTATTAAATTTGTATTCACTAATATATAATTTTGATGTTTACTACTTTTAGTGTAGTTAATACCTATACTTGCAGTTGAAGCCTTTTGTGAGACAATGACTACACCATATGAGAATAGTCGCCTCAAAAGAATTGCAGAGAATAAGAAAAAGTTAGCGGCTCTCAATCTTCCTACACTCTCTCAATCCCTTCACAAATCATCAGAGTCTTCTTCCAAACCATCACTGGTCAGTCATAAATTCTCTATACTACTCCATACAAATTAATTGTACTTATTATTTACTAATATTCACTAATGTATTTTATTTAGTCTGTGAAGGGCCGTTCAAGGTTTGTACAACCTGGAGAGCTTGAAGTAAATAAGAAGCACCTACGTTCAATTACAACTCGCAAATCATCAATAACCCCTCCACCAATGGAAACTACAATAACCCCTCCACCAATGGAAACTACAATAACCCCTCCACCAATGGAAACTACAATAACCCCCCCGTCAATCCAAATTGCAAAAGATGTTGTGGTAGAAGATGAGGATGAAGATGACATGGTAGGAGATGAGGCTGATGATGTTGTGGTAGGAGATGTGACTGGAGATGTTGTATTAGGAGATGAGGCTGAAGATGTTGTGGTAGGAGATGAGGCTGAAGATGTTGTGGTAGGAGATGGGACTGGAGATGTTGTGGTAGGAGATGAGGCTGAAGATGTTGTGGTAGGAGATGGGACTGGAGATGTTGTTAAAGTGGCTAAATCTGAGTATTGGGATGTAAATGTCATTAGTAAGTAATTTAAGGTTAAAGTATCTATAAATAATTTAAATTTTTTACATAGTTGAGTTATGAAATTAATTTGTTTACTTTTTTAATGTGATAGACGAGGAAGGTTATGTTTCAAACGCACGTTTATGTGTGAAAGACTTGGTTGCGAAATCAGAGCCTGATGGAACATGGATAATACTTGAATTCAATAAGAATAATTGTGCAATAGGACCGGCTTCTGGTTTGCTAGCAGGATATTTGGGTATAATTATTAGAATGTTTAGAGATATTCCCATAATGTTTGAGAGTTGGAAGAATGTTCCAGCAGATACAAAAACAAAGTTTTATGAATCAAAGATAAAGGTATTATTAATAAACAATTACATATTTTTTAAATTAACTTCATGGTGATTATTATTTCCTTTGTCAACTAATATATTTTTATGTTTAGCGCCATTTTCTTGTGGATGATGGGCGTGACAAAGATTTTGTACTTGCTTCTGCTGCAAGGAAATGGAATGATGCCCGACATACATTGTTTCACGAATTTTATAGATGGGATCTCCCTTTGGAGGAAAATCTTCAAAATTATCCAAAATGCAGAGGCATTCCTGAAAATGACTGGGCTGTTTATGTTCAATATAGGCGGAAAGAAAAAACACAGGTAACATTAGTGTTTTTATTTGTTAGATTTCTCTGGTTTGTATGTTATCCCTATCTATAATGCATGTTTTTATTTGTTACAAATGTAGAAAATATCCCAAAAAATTCCCAAAATAGAGAAAAATTGAAGGCTCCGCATACACTCGGATCTAAGTCGCTTGCAAGGAAGAAACATGAGTTGGTATGTCTAAATCTATATGTTGTTGATCGTTTGCTTGATAGTACAAACAATTTATATTAGCTTTTATTTGCAGGAAATGAGAGATGGACGAACATACAGCAGAGGAGAAATGTATGCAGTTTCTCATAAAAAGCCTAACGGGTCATTTATCAATGAAGATGCATACAACAATAATGTAAGTACAAGTTAATTCTTTTGAAATACTGGAAAAAAACCGGTAATAGTAATAGAACCATCCCAAATAAAACTCACCACTGGAATTTATATATATAATATGGAGAAAGAGCCCGATATATGCTTGGATTCCACTTGATGACATTGTAAATGCCAATCGTGAAAATAGATAGTAACCATAGGATGATTATGGGAGGAAACATGAAAGCAATCGCGTGGGAGCCACGGTGTTGCAAAATAAAGAGACCAACCAGTAGAACACAGGAAATAAGAGGCATCATACCTGCATAGATTAGAAGCGTAAGTTGTAATGGAAAAATCACCTATGCTGCATTTGACATATATTTGAAACATTGAAAACTGTGGGGTAACTTTAGTGGGAAATTTCAGAATAAATATCCTAGAGTGATTTTGTTTATACTGAAGAATGGTGGGTAGAAAGCTTTACTGAACTTCTTGTAAACAATTCTCCATGTCACATTTGCAATAGTTTGTGCCACCTCCTAGTTTGTGCCAACTTCTTTTTACGTATATATGGAAGTCCATGATTTGATCAAGAGGTTCTCCCCCAATATATTATTCTTGTTATATAAACAATAGCTCAATTTTTTCTTTTTCATGTGCAGAAAAAATTACAAGCTGCAATTAAGGATTCTGTGTCTGAAAATGAGGCATTTCAGAAAGTATTTGGAAAAGAAAAGCATGGATATGTTCGTAGTATGGGACTTGGAGTTACACCATCTCAAATTAATAGATCTACGAGATCGACATCTTCTTCTGCAGAAAGTGAACAAATAAAGGAAATGCAAGAAGAAATTAATGCACTTAAAGAAAAGAATTCAAAAATTGATGAATTAACACAGGCAATCATATTCTTAACGCAAAGGGACAAGGCGAGGACAAAGGAAATTGAACTCTTAATGCAAATGCAGAATTTTAGTGGAAGACAGGTATATTATTTTGACGCATTTAAAGTTAAATTTTATGAGTATTATTTTAAAGATTATTATTTTAATACCTTTTTTTAGGGATTGGAATCACCCGCTGATGGTAGACGTTCATCTCAGTCTAGCTACCGTATTGGAGATAATGGAACTTCAGGGGGGACAAATTAGACTTTGCTATGATAGAGATAATTAGATTGTGAACTTTCTCATGTATTTTTGGCATAATGATACTTATTATTATAAGATTAGGAATTGATATATTTTGGGTTTTTTGTACTACTTGACATGATTATGGAACTCGCATTTTACATGATTATGGAACACACATTTTTTTGGATATTATAATGCTTATTTGATGTTAAATATTTTTTATTGAAATTATTTTTACTATATTACAAAGTGATAGAAAATAAAACAAAAAATAATACTATAAATAAATATGTTAAAGAAGAAATAATTTAAAGAAAAAAATAACACACAAAAAAACTATATTTAAAATTTTTTACATAGATAATAATTTAAATAAAAAATATATATAATAGAAAAATAAAAAAAAATCAAGACATAAACAAAAGTCATGGCGACAGTACCGAACCGTCGTAATCAACAATTAAAAATAATCAACAAAAGTCATGACGGTATCGAACCGTCGCCATAAACAATTTAATCAATTTCAAAAGATATTCACGACAGTATCGAACCGTCGCCATCAATAATTAAAAGAAACTCAAAAGATAGTCACAACGGTATCAAACAGTCACCAATACTTGATTATGTCAGCTCCAAACCCGTCGTAAACTTGAACGATAGTTTTTGTAACCGTCGCGAAATAGGTTGGGGACACACACTTCTGCGACGGTAAAGCAACCGTCGTGGAAAGAAAATTGTGACGGTTTTAACCGTCGTAATCTACAAAAATACCTGTCGCAATCTGCCAATTTTCTTGTAGTGTAATTAGCTGAAATCTTTTTTAAACATTTCAATGAATATAGTATAATATTAATTATGTTTTTATTTAAGGCTGTTATATGACAAATTGATGCGCGGGAATCAATTGTCAAACAGATTCCATTTCGTGTCTTCCTCCCGTGTCAGCGGAGCGACAATTGGTAGGGAACCGAAATCAGTAAGAGAGCACTTAGTCGAAAGATTCATGACAACTGGCAGTATATAAAGCTTATATCTTTGGGCGTATAATATTATTCCTACAGGGTTAGAATTTCATTCTAAGTTCATTTTAATATTTGTAATTTTTGCGTAGAAAATTTTCTTCTAAACTGTTGTTTTAATTTATAGACGTCACTGGTTGTTGGTTGCTATCGATCCTATAAAAGAAGTGGTCTATTATCTGAATTCAGTTGACGGTGATTGGACAAATTATCCGGATATGAAGTTAATGATTGATACGTAAGTGAGATTATTCTAAATATTTGTGTGTGTTTATACATTTAATTATTTCTGTGACATTATTCTAAATATATATTTTTATTTTGTTAGAGCGATACAAGTATTCCGGTGTCAAAGAGAAGCTCGGGTACGACGGTCTAAATCAAACAACATTAATTGGATCAAAGTGCAGGTATATTAATTTCCACTATTTTGCTTATAATATTTATGCTATTTGATAAAACAATACAACTATATATTCTTATTTGTTTTTCTATGTAGTGTCCTCAACAACAAAACGGTATAGATTGCGGATACTTCGTTATGCGGTTTATCAAAGAAATTATTCAACTGAATCAAATAGAGATTCCAGTCACGGTATGGATTTATAACTTAGGATTTGTTTTATTATTTCTCGGATATTTCATATAATTTTTTACTTTTAACTAAATCATGCATATTATGTTTTGTTATGTAGTACTTCGATGAGTACAAATGTGCATATTACACGAAACTTCAGTTGGAAGAAATCAAAGAGGAATTGTGTCAATATTTTATTGAGTAGAGAATCATATAAGGACTGGTTTAGTTGTTGTTAGGGTTGGTTTTGTAAGACTGATTTTGAGTTACAATGCTGATAACAATGGTTTATATATATTTTGAGGTACAAAAATGGTGTATATATATTTTGGATTACAATGGTATACAATGCATTACCGTGGTTTATGAATTACAGGTTATGGCAACTGGTTTATATAAATAATATGTTGCAAACAATGCAGGTATATGAATTATATAAATTATACCTCTAAAAAAAACACCCTATGAAAGCGCTTTTTGAAGAAAAACGCTGCCTTAGTTAGACCTATGAAAGCGCTTTTTCACATAAAGCGTTGTCTAAGGTAAACATATGACAACGCTTTTCCAGGCAAAAACGCTGCTAAAAGACAACCTATGAAAGCTCTTTTCCAGAAAAAAGCGCCACCAATGAAAGCGCTTCTTCATAAAAAAACACTGCCAAAAGCCTACTTAAGAGAGCGCTTTTTAGAAAAAGCGCTGCCAAAAGCCTTCTTAAGAGAGTGCTTTTTAGAAAAAGCGCTGCCAAAAGCCTACTTAAGAGAGCGCTTTTTAGAAAAAGCGCTGCCAAAAGCCTACTTAAGAGAGCGCTTTTTAGAAAAAGCGTTGTCATAGGTAGACCTACTAAAGCGCTTTTCATTAAACAAAAAGCGCTTCTAAAACCTATAGCAGCGCCACCTTAGAAAGCGCTTTTAAAGGCCAAAAAAAGCGCTTTCGTAGGTCTTTTTTGGCGTAGTGTCTCAAAACAAAATCCTAACCGACACACATTATTTTGATGAAAATTACTAAACCATATTGGGCAAGATAATCGATTAAAAATTACTAAACCAATCGATTGAAGCATTATCCCATCAATTGGCTCATCAATTATGCCCGTGAATAATTTACTCCTTTTTTTCCAATTCCTATATAAAGGAGGATCACCTCTTCTTCATTTCACGTCACTTTCTAAAGATTTATATTTTCTTCAGAGATTATCTCTCTATTTTTCTCTTCCTCTCTCTATAAACATTTCTTTTTCACTTAAAGTTGTCAAAGTGCTTTAGAGTGAAGTGTTGCTTGTGAGGAAGAGTTTGTAAGTGGTTGTACTGCTTGTTTAATTCTTAAGAAGATTGAGTTTGATTTGCGAGATAAACCAGTCATAAAATCTTCATCTTGGTTTATTAAGCATTATCGAAAAAAGTTTTATTTTTTGTTATTGAAATTAGCTTGAAATTCTCTAAAAAGGTTTGTTAGCTTAACATGTGGTAAAATATATCATTGGTTGGGGAAAAGCCTATAAAATATCAAGATCACATTTTATAATGGTTTGTGGGCATAACCTTCAAAATGTAAAAGTTTATAGTCAAACTCTCAAGAAGATCTCTTAGGAACATGATTATGCCAATGTTCGGCCAAACCTGTATAAATATCTGGTGGAGTCTCTCTAACCATATATTTTAATTTATTCTATTTATTCTCACTGTCTTATTTTTGCTACTACAATCTTAAGAATCTACCATAATTCCCCCCCCCCCCCTATTATGATTGAAGTCACTTATCCAACAAGTGGCATCAGAGCCTAGCTACTATTAAGGATTAATGATCTCAAAATGAAAAATGTCTTCAAGCTATTCACTAAACAAACATCCATCCTTTAATGGAGATTGAAAAGAGAAAATGAAAATTTTCATCGAATGGATGGATCGTGGAATTTGGAAGGTTGTGAAAGAATGTTCATTGTCCATACACACGATGGCAATGGTGTTTTAGTAGACAAACCTGAAAAGGATTGGACCAAAGATGATAAAGAGAATGTGAATCGCTGTTTGAAAGCAAAAACCGTCATCACTACCGCTCTAGTGCTTGGTGAAATTTTGTGAGTTTCTCACTGCGAAGCTGTAAAAGAAATGTGGGACATCCTCCAAATTGCCCATGAAGGAATTACTGATATAAATAAGGTAAGTTTGGACATACTAACTCTTGAGTATAAACTATTCAAAATGAAACCATGAGAGAGAATAAGGCAAATACAAACATGATTCACCCATATCATGAGTCAAATGTGAACTCTGAGAAAAAATTTCTCAAATGAGGAATTATTCATAAAATTTCTTAGATGCCTAAAATGTAGTTGGCAAACCAAAGTCATTGTGATTTGCGAATCTAAGGATTTAATGATTATGAGCACACACTCTCTTTGGTAAATTGCAAGAACACGAAATAGAACTCAAAAGGTTGGCCCTAGATGAAGAAAGAGAACAGAAAAACAAAAGTCTAGCACTTAAAGCTGAGGAATTTGATTTTGATGGTGACTTGGCTCTCATAGTAAAGAACATTAAGAGATTAATGAAAAACGAAAATAAGCAAAAGGAAGAACGAGAAAAATATGAGGAGAAAATACCATTCATTTTAACATGCTACAACTGTTGAAAGAAAGGGCACATAAAACCATATTTTTCCCTATTCAAAGAGGATAATAAAAAATTTCAAAAATCTCAACAAAAAAAACAAGAAAGCTTATGTTGAATGGGAAGAGAGTGATATGGCATCCTCAGATGAAGAAGAAGAAGAAGAAGAAAAATCTAACATCTGACGTATGGTAAACCATCAAGATAATGAGGTAACCTCTTAATTATCCTATCACGTACTTTTTAGAATCTGCAAAAAACTAACAAAATAAACAAATAAATTAGAACAAATTGTTTCTGCATCTAAAGATATTATCTCCTCACTTGAACTTAAAAATAAAGCCCTTGAAAGATAGATAAAACTCCTTAGAGAGAAATTAAATGATATAATTCAAAGTTCTCCCGCTTTAAGAGAAGATGATGAACCTGACAGGTGCGATAAAATGACAACTTAAAAAAATGAAATTTGTGATTTTCATAAAACACTTGTCAAGTTCACCAAAGGAAGAGATAACTTAAATTCATTGTTAGATAACCAAAGAGAATCCTACGACAAATCTGGCATTGGTTGTGACCCAAATAGTAATAGTAAAGACTTTGATAAGTTTTGTAATGCCAAAAACACCTCTCATTGTAAAGCTTTAAAATGCAACTATTGCAAAAGGGAGAGACGTATTTCAATGATATGTTTTATCAAGAAAATTCATTAAGGTAAATAAGGACATCCTCCTTCATATTTTTACAACAAACAATGTGAGCACAAAGAAAATATGTCCTTTAAACCTGAAAATGCCTATATCTCTAACATTCTATTTG